GGGGGGGGCTGGGGAGCAGACAGTTCTGTATCTGATGGACGTCTGCAGTGACTGTCCCAGGCTCGAAAATTACATCTTAACGGGCAAACTTGGCAGACGTTCACTCGGAAGGAAGGGAGTGAGCGTGCCTGCTGCTCTGTTTGCGTTTTTAATCAAAAGACCATCTTGTTCGTTGATGAAGCCATACGCCAAGAACATGGAAGAGGTAGTACAAGAAACTCGTGAGAATCGATTTAAAGTTGTAATCGAGATCAAGCGTTAACAACACGTTCCGCCGAAAATGTTTTGAATGTGTTTGATTTGCTGATTGGTCGAGCGCGACACATATAGTTTGCTTTATCTAACATGTCCAGAAAAAAAACCTTTACAACATCGGAGACAGTGGGAAAACCGTAGCTTAGGAACCTTATTTTACTTAAAAGTTTTTTGCAAGCACCCCAGGAGGAGTCCTGCGTGACGAAGGCAGTCACACACAGTCACATTCCTGGACGGGCCCAATGCAAACGACTGGCCGGCTCGGCTCGTGCCCAAGACAAACCGAGGTGGCAGTCGCAATTTTCGGCACGCTCCTCTCCGTGCAGTCTGTATTCCAAACACGGCGCGCTGGAGCCACGCCCGGTGGGGCCTGGGCCGGCCGGCACCTCCGCGCACGCGCCCGTGCCAAATAAACAAGGAACAACGCGCCCTCACGAAACTGACCCCACGACGAAATACGATACCCTCTATAACGGGTATCGCCAAACCTCCAAGTCATAACTGGCACCACCGGCTTCGACAAAATGACGTGCGAGCTGCCACACTGGGATCTTTTTTGAGCAGTCGTCTTAACTATGCACAGTACATATGCTTGTAAGGGCGTGAATGAAGCCTGCACCGTATTGCTTCCCCTCCTCCTTGTTTTCGCTCCCAGTCGATTCGCTAATGGTTGTCAACCCGGCTGAAGTGTCATTCAGACTCCACTCCAAAATATCGATATGGCCGACCGTTCACTAACACGCCCCGCAAATCACCACCGATCCATTAATATTGGCGGAGTGGATTGTCGCCGAGGAAGATGTCAAAAGATCTATTGATCCTAGCGATACAACCTGGGCGGTGTGATCGAGAACCATTCATCATCAGAACGATGTTACACGCCACGGACAATACCGAACCGTACCTGCGATAAATTTGCAAATTCCCGTCATTTATCAAACCATAGAGGAGAGAGATTGATGCGAAACAATGTCTTACATGAGGCGGGGGATAGGTCTCTCTATGTCGGTCTTGTTTTCGCGAGCTGCAAGGCAAATATTCGTGGTGCGTGGTGTGAGATAAAAATACGGTACACCAAAACATCTCTGCAATCCACGCTATTGTTTTACAAACTTTTTTCTTGCACCTCCGAAAAAAATTTTTACCTAGAACGGAGCCGTCGGTTCTTGTCACATTGTTTTAAAAACGAGCGGCAACGGCGACAACCCTCTCGAGAGAAGGCCGACCAACAGCTGTTGATTCAACACACAGAGCTTTTTATGCAACAATATCGAATGTCATATCCAGCGAGAGTTCATTAGCTTTTTTTGTAGCATTCGCCCCGCGCATCGCCCCGCGGAGCAGATAGTTTACGACGCGATGACGGCAAATGGCGCGAAAGATGGGCGACAACGCGCTGGATGCATCTCATCTCAGCCGCGTGGGGGTTCCTCCCAGACGCTTATTTTAAGGGATCGTTAAAAGACCGCATTATGTTGCGTGGCAAATGCAGAAATGGAATCTGAATATGCGAAATAAACTATACGAATAAGATAGGTGAGCTCGCTGAGAGAAAGGGTAACAGCAATTAGTTCATGTCGTCCAACTTGCATCCACCGTCTTGCGTGAGCATTTGAAGAAACTCCTGCGACGCGCAAATGTATTCAAATATTTTAATTTTTACGCGTCTGATTAATACTCTTCCGGCGACACGACGTGCAAAACGTCTCGGGACGACACATCAGTCGTAGTCGGTCCGTCCTCAAATCAATGCGGACGGACCACGCCTCTCCGCAACACACTGTGTGTAAACACGCACAGCGCGCCAGACACAAAGGAGGGAATCGGGCTAATTTATTCGTAAAAACTCGAACCAATTAATAACATGCAGCCACGCAAAAGGGCGTCGCCCGTCCGTCAGGGCATCGCTGCGCGGCTGTACGCGGCTGCGGTCCGCGGGCCCAACAGACGCACAATATGCAAATAATCCTACTTGAGCCGAGCGGTTCAAAGGCGAGGGCACCCCAGCTGTCACTGAGCCGCCGGTGACAAATA